ATATAAAACCTAATTATTACTAATATATTACCTAATTTCCCTCTGGGATCAATAAAGTATTTTTGAATTAAATTGAATTGAATATTAACATAGTAATTAAACAACGACAAGAGGACTTCTGGGTACTGCAGATTTGAACATAAGGTGGTCCTGCCAGGAAGGGAAATCACAAATTTACTGGCTGAATCCAAGCTTGTAGCTGAATCTGCTCTGAGAGTAACATGCATTTTAGATTAAAAAGAAACAAGATATTTCTGAGCTAATAAAGTTAATAATTCAGCGTCACTTATTTTAGAAAACATAATTGTATCATTGAAGCCCTCAGGAAGGACCTGCATGAAAGTTATAAAGATCTTTAAATGTAAATTGAACATCTTTTACCCCCTTTGCTCCACTGTTTATGGTTAGTGCTGCAAAATGCAATAAATTCAACCTCATTTTCATTTTTTAATAAACGTACGTAAGAAAAATAATATAGATAATAAGTGAAGGTGCCATAGTTTGACTTTTATTAACAGTTTGACAAAGTTCTCTTGTTTGAGACTCTCTTGGAGGACTTGACAAAAGGAATGTGATTCTCCAGTTCTTATCTTGAGTAAATACAGCCACACGTCGCCTTTGATCACTCTTTTTAAGTCCCCAAGTCATAAAAAAATAAAAGTTTTACTTTGCATTGTGTCGTAAAGTTCGCCCGTCTCAGATTCCCAACATTTTAATCAGCTTGTGGGGGTGTTGTCGTTAATCCACACCAGAGACAAGTGCAGGATTTGTTTGCCAGCACCTGTCGGAGCTGCTCCACTTGAGTGAATCCCATGTCTTGTTTGTTCAACTTTGTGGTCATGTTAATGTCTTTAGGCCGCAGAAACCTTTACACGGGCTCTTAATCAAGTCTAGTTCTCTAATGAGTTTCTCCTTTTTTCGGCAGTGGTTTGAGCCATGAGTCTCATCGCAGAGATGTGGAGCAGGTCTACCTTCGCTGCTCACAGGGGTCTCTGGAGTGGCTCTACCCCACCGGGGCCATCATTGTCAACCTGCGACCCAACACAGAGCTCTCATGGAGACACACAGCAGGTGTTCATGTGTGCATCAAACCCCAGCCTTACTCCCAGGTAAATGAAGAATTAAAGTGCAAAATGTAGATGACTTGGACTCTGTTTACATGACTCAGATTTTAGATGAAACTGCAACATTTCTGTTGTATTTGATAGGGCTGCAACGATTAATCGACAAC